ACACCATCTCCCTGTATCTTCCCAATAATGCAGCTTGTCAGCATTTCACATAAAACTGCCCCTGCCTGAACGCCCACACACTTCAAATTCTACACATCCAATTTGCAAAACAGACTGTTTACGACAAACAAAACAGCTCATGCCGAAATCATAATCATCTCGATGATACCGCTGTGACACCACCAGGTTTGTTTTCCCTCCAGCTGACAGTGTTGTAATGTTTTCCCAGAATGCAGCAAATGATCTTAATGTAGAAAATGAGCAAAATATGTTGGCGTTTTTATTCGGATAGCAGTAAAAATCTACCTGCTGCGAGCCAGTGAAGCTCAGGAATAAAGCATCATTTAAGCAGAAGATGAGGTAATTGTTGTAAAGGTCCTTTTGTCTTGTGTTGTGGTGGTGCTGAATGGAGAGCTCCTGTAAAGAAGAGGAGCTTTTATTTATTGATACAGCCACCAGGGGGCCCAATGTCAGAGAGTCCTGTGTGCTTTATGCATGTGAGATATGAAAGATGGAACTCTTGTACTCAGCGGATCTATAATGTTGGCAAGGTGCTGTGTCTTCTGTACCTGTTTACCCCGAGTGAATAGCTGTCGGGAATGCTTCAGCTCAACACAGGTGCTGAGAGGCCGGTACAGTTCGACCTCACTACATTCTCTGTGGGGAATGTATTCACTGTACACCACATAAAGGACATGTGTGTTTGCCAACAAGTAACAGCTGATTTTAATACAGAAGAGCTGCAGATATACTCCATGTTTGAGATCATTTATGACAAGAGAGCTGCACTTATTCCCATTTTCATCAGTAAAATGTGCTTCTTAGCTTCAATCACAGCTCTGAAGTGACGAAATTCCTCATCCAAACTGTTTATTTCATGTGCTTCGGTGCTAGAAAATAAACAGCAGCTGCCACATTGATTCTTTACACTCACCGATATCAATATTGGCGTCACAAAGACAGAATGTTCAGGCTCTAATTACATGTTTTCAACTTCTACAGAAGAGTGAGCACCTTATGTGCAGGTTTTTTTTTCCATAAAAGAGCTCTTCATTCTGTTGTTAACAGAAGCTGTGACCTTTCAGGTCCCACGTATAAATGAGACCCTCATTATTCCGCACTCGGCAAGAACAGAACAGGGCTGAAAGTGCACCGTATTTACCTGGATTCCTTTTATTAAAGCCGTGGATAAAGGATGTACAGTGGCTGGCGCTCGCTGTAAAGTTGCTTTTCCTCTCTCTCTCTCTCTCTCTCTCTCTACAATAAGTGTGCCCTAATTGCTTTATTTAGCTGTCAAATTTACTGTTGCAGCTTAATTAGCTTCTCGCGGATACATGGCCGTCGTCTCTCCCTTGTCTCTGTTAGCGTGTTTGTTGCTAATTACTCGACTGGTGCTGCTTTTCACAGACCCTACAGCCTGTCTGCGCACGGCTGATTCATCTGATCCGCAGATCAGCAGAGAATCAGCTCGTCAGAACACAACAGACTGGTGTAGGTGGGAATCGGAACGCTTGTTTGTGCAAATCGGAGCTCTCGGTTGGGTCTTCATAATTGCCACCGTGATTCAACAACAAACCAAGCAAATAATTAACTCCTGGCTTGCTCCAACTATCAAGCTGGGGTTTCTCTTTGGTGGAACAGGATTTTCTACATTTCTGTTGAGGTTTTTTTTTTTAAAAAAAGAAAGGACACGGTGTTAATATAACGTGTGTGGCTTACGGTGTGTTTGTAATGTGTAGGCTGTGCTAATAAGTTCTGGTGAGGTGATTGTGTCCACTTCACACTTGTTTAGTGGCCTACTTTGGTGTGCTTAGTTGGGCGTTTTGAGAAATATGCTTAAGATGAGAAGACTGCCAGCAGTTTGTGAGCTTAACTCAGGATATACAGACTGGAAATACTGGGTAAAAAGTTGCCATCATTAGCAAAATCTTCATACCAGAACCTTTAAACCTGTGAACAGAACCATTTTAGCGGTTTCCCCTCTTTGTGTCCAGTCTTCATGCTAAGCTCAGCCGCTGGTGGCATATTTACCATATAGGCATGAAAGTGATAACAATTACTCAAGAATTATATAATATCTTTTGTCTACATGACATTCTTGTCTGTTAAGGCTGCTGAATTCATTGTTAGTTCATTTGTTTTCCACTTATTGTTAGAGTTGTTCAACAAAAAAAAGATAAATATTCAGGAATACAGTCGCATAACAACCATAAAACTGGTGAAATGATCATTTAAGGTGAAACACCCCTTAGAACTAATCAAGGTAACTGCTAAGAAGGTACAGAATGAATATTCTCAAAAGTACAGTCCTAGAAATTTTGTGTGTGTGTGTGTGTGTGCGCTCGTGTGTGTGTGTGTGCGAGTGTGTGTGTGTGGGCGACCGCTTTGTCTCCTGGCAGCCGTTCTGATCACTTGAATGAAGTGATTTGTTTTGTTCTCATACTTGGTGCTGTTGTTTGGGAAGCAGCCAACACTCTGTGCAAAACAGTACATACAGTTCACACTTATCCCCCTCTTTGACATTTTGTTTGCCATCAGATGTGGTATCGTGGACAGTCTGCATCTTCTGATACCAACTGGAATGTTGTGTATTATAATTTAAGTGGTCTGAGTTTAAACTAGACTGTCGTACCTCCTCTTGACTCTGGTTTTTTAGGCTTTTTAGCCGGAGCAGGTGAGAGAGTTTAACCCTGTTCAGGAGTTTTGGGGTCTTTTGGACCCCAGGCCATTTGGTTTAGGTGACAGGTATTGTTTTTTTATTTTTGAAGATTTTTTTTAATATAAAAAGAGGGATGTTTGTCATGCATTTGGAACTAAAAAAAACATCAACTTATCAGAAAATGTATTTAACATAATATAAATGTCTATAATGAATACCAAGAAATATTTTGCACATATTCTTTCTTGGGGTCCAATGGATGTGTATGGCAACATGAAAGTCCTGAATAGGGTTAAAGAGCAAAGTGGACGTAGTGGTATGATAGGTTAAACAGAAGACTTTCACACAATAGTACGGGTTGTTTTTTGTTTGTTTGTTTGTGTTATTTTTTTCCGTATTTTTGCTTATTGTAGTTTTAATTACCTATTTACACATTTTAATCTTTGACTGTCCTTTTGTGCTGAGATTTTTCTATTCCTGCTTCTGTTTAAATAAGATTACATGAGATTTTTTTTCAAATTTCTTTCAAAATAAAAAAATCTGTATGTTTTGGTAATGATACCAAAACTGAGGCATCTCATCTGCACATTTGTACTGAAACAGAAAATGTCCCTCACTAGTCATTTGTTAAACTGCTAAAAACTCATCTCTGGGTGCTGAAGTTACATATTTAGATGTTTTATTTCTCTTAACCTCTGAAGACTTGTTTATTTGCATTTTTTATTTAATAGAAAATAAAAATATATAAAGTAAATAAAAATATAAAAAATATATAAAATATTTTATAAAATAAAAAATTTTTTTTCAAAAAGCCACATAAAAATAAATAACAATATAATAATAATAATAATAATAATAATAATAATAATATATATATAGAGAGAGAAAATTAACCACTGTGGTAATATAATCCAAAATGCCCATGCATGTGGATGCCAGGTCTTCAGAGGTTAAAAATTCTCCCTTCATGCCTTATAGTGGCTCAGATGTAACTCTACACTGTTGCTTCATCCAGAATATGTAGATTTATGAAGTTCCTGCTTCTCTCTAACCCCCCACCCCTCCCCACTCACTGCAGCTCCAACACACCAGCTCACCATGAGATTGCTCAAACATCGTAGAACTGCTCCACTTTAGTCAGTGACAAGTTGTGATATTGGAGTAATTTAGCATGTTTGAGATGGAAAAGAAGATGAATGCAAATTGACACGACTGGTTGCTTGTGTTTGTTACATGTGAAACCCTGGAGGTCTGAATCTGTGTTTTTGAGACTGTTGTCAGTACGCTGGAGTTCCGAGGTGGAAATACTCAGCTATGGTGTTTACTGCTTGATATGTCGCCTCCTATGTTAAAAAAAAAATCAAAGAAAAAAAACACCATATGGACATGTTAACAAGGTAAAAACTTCATTTTCAGGAGGTCTTTCCAAAACAACCCCAGCATTGAATGTTAAATTGTAACGGGTCGTAAACATATCCACTGTGATTCTACATATAATTCAGTATTACAGTGTAATTTTGACTCCATCACTTTATCACCTGTGGTGGTGTAAAGTGGCAAATACAGCTCAAATCTATCCACCTACTGAGTGCTGCTTTTGGTTGGTTAAATGTGTTTGTAAAGCTGTAACACGCCGCGTTTCCTTGTCAAAATGTGAAAATTGCTGAGGTCCGAGGTCAACGAGATGATGACAGCTTCCTGCTCTGTGATCACACTGACAGAGTGATGCAGAGGTGAGCTGTGGACGGAAGTGTAGGAGAGAGAGAGAGAGAGAGAGAGGAAGAGCTGCTGTAGATGGAGAGAGAGAGAGAGAGAGATAGCAGAGGAGAAATCCCATGCTTGCTCACTCCCACACCTTTTTCTCTTGCTGTATTCTGGCTCTGGCACCTCATGCTGCAGCAGCAGTCAGACTCCAGCAAGCAGTGAGTGACGCCACGATTTCCTCACTGACAAAGATCTTTTCTCTCCGGCTTCAAGTTCAACTTCTTCTCTCTGAGGACAACAGTTACCTCCGGGGGGACTACCCACCTGTCACTCGAAAGCTTTCTTTTTTCTTTTCTTTGAGTCTGAGGTGTGAAGGAGGAAGCCTGTTGAGTTGAATCGGTGCTGACTTGGATTGTGAAAATTGTTTGAGCTCTTCATCACTTTTGAATCTCTGCTCAGGCTGGTTGTTCTCTGGAAGTCTTTTGATTATGGACTGTGTCTTTTCAGAGCGGACTGAGGTGGATCTGTGATCCATCCTCTTTCCTTCTCTTTTTCTTTTTCTGAGGCAACTCTCGTGGACAAACACAGCTAACAATCACCCAATTTTGTTTTCCTCACATGCCACCATGTTCGCCAGAATCTTCATTCCCAAGAAGCACCGGCAGCGCTTCGACGAGTCCGTGTCCCAGAACGTGATCAACCGGCTCTGCCGCAGCAAGAGCATCAGCGAGCCGCAGGGCAGGATCCGGCGCAGTCGGAGCGAGGATCACTCGGACCGCCACCGCGGGTCCAAACGGGCCAGCTCAGTGCCAAGAGATGGAGAACCCGGAGGGAGGGGGGAGACCGAGAGAGAAAGGGGCTTGAGGAAGTCCGTCTCTGGGTTACCTGCGCATCCCCCCATCGGACCCAATCAGAGGTGAGAACACATGAATGAGAATTTGTTGTTTGTGATATTGACACGATGCTTTGTGATCCTCTCTGGCTCTGTCTGAGGTGTTGCTTTCTGTGGGAATTCAGGCTGCCAACAGGTTCGTCTCAACACATAAAGCAGCAGCCAAGGAGTCACTTTTCTGTTCTGATATTTTGCAGGCAAGCTGTTTTAAAAAATGTATGTGAAACAAGGGACAGTCTGGCGCTGCTTTATGATTCCTAAAGCTTCTGTCTTAGTTAGTAGCTCAAACCCTAAAACCTGAGTATGTAAGAAGATGTTTTTGCACTAAAAAAAAAAAGCGCTCAGATGCTTTGTTCATTTAGTCCCTAAAACTCCAGCTATCACCTATTCAACATGCTAATCCTACACTGACCGTTCAACCTCCCCAGCTCATCCTCCACCCACCAACACGCTGATTGTCCAATTAATAACACCTCAGTGGACTTAGTGCAGGATTACAAAGGTGGCAGTGAACTCCCACACTCAGCCGAATCCCTGAGATCCGTCATGAGATCTGTTACCCAGCAGGGAAAATACACGCGTGTCAAGTGTGGTAATACCGGCGGGGTCACACAACAATAGGAGTCAAGCTGATTGTGTTGAACGGAGAGAGACTTCTTCATGTGGGGTAAAGCGGCACAGTCAGGGAGAAGTTGTGCTGAATGCCTTCCCCGAACTAAATAAACCCCAAGAGTGTTGTGTAATACTGTTGTGTCTCCACAGTAGCTGGAAAGGTAGAGAGACAGAAAGAGATGGAAACAGAGAGATGGGTAGAGAATAAGATGAACAGAAGTAGAGGTACAGAGATGGAGGGAGATGTTGACGAAAAAATAGAGTGATGGAGATGTGAAGATGGAGAAACAGTGTGAGTTTCTGTGTTAATAGAGAAAGAGAGACAAATAGAGAAAGATGGAGAGTTAGAAGTAGATGGGTAGCGATGTGTAAATAGAGAAATTAGGATCGAAAGGTGTACACACAGATAGGGAGGTGTAGAAAAGAAAGATCTTTTTTGAATGAATCCACCTCCAAGTGTGTTTGACGTGTTGTTTCGGTGGACGTTCTGTTTACTAATTGATCTATAGACACTAAAAATCAATCACCATAGATTGTCTTCTCGCTTGTGCACCAGCTGCCAGTTGTTATTGTCTCAGCAGATTTCATTAGGAAGCGGCTGATTGATTCTTTTTGGGTCTCTGTTCGATGACTTCATGCGAAATCATACAAATGTGTGAAGTGCGGCTGGAGTGATTGGAATCAGGAGAGGCCTTGAGCAGCCCGTCGGTCCCAGACACTTATTTTGTCAAGTGTGCTCAAGGCTGCCGCTGTGTGCAGCCCGACACCCTCCTCACACACCGACACACACATCCACACACACAGCAACCCGGTGCGCCTGTCTGCATTTAGCTCGTCTTATATAACAGCCTCTAACCGCGGCTATCAAAGAATGGATTTGTCTGTTTTCTCTCCCCCTTTCGTCTATTTTTTTTGTCTTCCCCCCCTCGTTTGTATACCAAGGCAGTGTTGCCTTGAGTCATTTCCATGGCAACACACTGTAGATAGACAGCACGACTCTCCTGTTTGATGTAAAGAGCGGCTCCAGCGCGTATTCCTCGGATGGGGTGAATGTGAGCAGAGCGTCGCCATCAGCAAAATGTCAGAGCTGTTTTCCACGTTAAATATGTCGCGGTTTGTTTTTATTTAGGCCGGAAGCTGGTTGAAGTACAACAAGGAAAGGATGTGTGGATTTCAAGCTGCACTACTTTGGATTGTTACGTAAAAAAAAAGAAAATGTTATCAGCCTAAATGACAAAGTTAGATTGCAGTAAATAGAGCGTCACTTGTACAGACTCCCACCGACAGGAAGTGACAAATCAAAACAAAAATGAAGCACAAACAGGCTTGTAAACAGCAGCGAGTGAGTGAGCGCTCACTACAGAGACAGCTGGGCTCGCCGTTCATTCACAGAAAGGCTGTTATCAGTGTGGCTAAACGGCAACGCTGAAACAATTCACTGATTAATGGATCGACGACTGTTTTAACAACTGGTTAACTCTGCAATCAGACAAATTCCAATCATTCACTGCTTCCAGCTGCTGCTTTTCCTGTCTTCTTTGTCTGGGTGTTAGATTCTTGGCAAGATACTAACAAGACATTTGGAGAAATCGGGAACATTCTGTTTGGCATTTTTTACTTTTTTCTAACATTTACTGATGAGTTTGGATGAACCATAAGATACCGTAGTAAGCATTGGTTACACTTCTGCTCAAATTGAATGATTAGTCGATTAAAGAACCCCTCTAAGGTTTTGTTGTTTTTGTTTACATGTGTATATGGTGTCTTATTTATATGCTGGAAGACACATGATGAACAAAATAAGCAGTAAACACCAGGGCTGAGCATTTTCACCTTAAAACGAGTGTACCTGTGACAGCTGCCATAGTGTAGGATAGTTTTACAGTGTTTTGGCAGAGTCCTAGGTGAGCTGGTGTGCTCAAGCTGCAGTCATAGAGCTGCACATTCTAGAGGAAAGTACGGTGTAGAGTTACATCTCAGCCATTTTAACCCTATTCAGGTCTTTTGGACCCCAGGCCATTTGGTTTAGTTGACAGGGATTGGGTTTTTTTTTTTTTTTTTTTAAGATTTCTTTTCTTTAAATATACAAAGAGGGACATTTGTTGTGCACTTGGAACCAAAAATTCGTCATCTTATCAGAAAATGTATTTAACATAGTATAAAATTCTATAATGAATAATATTTTGCACATGTTCTTTCTTGAAAGACCTTCTACATATGGCAGCATGAAAGTCCTGAAGAGGGTTAATGCAGGACGAGATCATTTTAATGGAAACATACTTCTAAATATGTAACTTTGATAAACTGAGATGAGTTTTTAGAGGTTCAATCAAAGATCGGAGAGGAATTTTAAAGGTTAGAAGTGTTACACAGAAGCAGCACTTATTAGTTGTACTGCAGTTTGACTGTTTGATATTTAAGATGCACACATAAGAAAATGTTCAGAAGTCAAAAGATGCTCTTCACTAAGGGCCACACCAAACACATCAATTCCACCTGTTCTTTCTTGAATTTTGTGTCACTTCACCAGTTTGAAAGCAAACCTTTACACCCAAATTTGCTCTTTGGTCAACACAGAAAGCCAAGAATTGTCTTCATGACTGTCAGTACACCTGCAGTCCAAGCGTTCATCTAACTTCCGGCTCACGTCTCCTCCTCAGGATCGTTCGTGTCTACAGGGGGAAGAAGAACTTCGGCTTCACCCTGCGAGGCCACGCTCCCGTCTGCATCGACTCAGTTATCCCAGGTACTGCTTCTAAAATAAAAACCAGTACAGTACGGTCCCGATAGACGCCTCCTCTCCCCGTGTGTGGCGGCTTGACCCGTTGCGTGTTGGCTGGCGAGGAAGGGGGCAGGTGTATTTTTTTTCTGTGGGTGAGTCTGTTGTGGTGCCAGCCGCGGCGGGTTGAAGGTGATCGGAGGTGTTTTTGTGTGCGTGTGTGTGTGTGTGTGTGTGTGTGTGCGAGCGTTGCAGGAAGAGGATTTGTGTGACTCACCAATGAAATGTTAAGAGGAAATCACTCAGAACAGACTGTGCTGTACAGTAACAAGCACACAGAGAAGTCAATCAATGCTGCGCAGACACATTCAGGGATTCGGCTTCTACCTTTACAGTAGCTGTTATTTAATCTGGTTGTGCTGTTTACTGGGTGTGAAGGTGTGAAAGTAAATAAACTATACACTTAAATCCTACTGAAAAGAATGACAGGATTTATTTCCTTAAGAATTTTCACATTGGCTACCTTTTACTTTTCGTGACTGGACTCTCAGAGGAGCGTGTAATGCTTCTACAAACCTAATTAAAAGACTGGAAACAGCTAGTTCTGCCTCAAGGTAACCAGCTCCTGTATCGCTTACTAACTAGCACGTTTCATCTCGTTTATTTCATCTGTACAAAAGCACAAGAGTAAAAATGTCAGGTTTTGTAGGCGCTTACGTGCCAGAAAACAAACCTATCTGTTCTCGTATTTTCGTACGCTAAAACAACTATTTATCATACAGACAGGAGAGTGGTATTGACATTCTCATTTCGCTGTTGGCAAGAAAGCATATAAGTGTATTTCCTGAAGCATCAAACATTATGAAGTTTGTGTTTAAATGGATTAAACGGGCTTTTCTTTTACATTAAAACATGATGAAGCTTTATTTATTGGCTCTTTCAATGCATGTTTTTTTGTCAGTGAGGCCTATTTCCACTAAAATATGACTTTTTTTTAACTACAGATACCGTTGCTGTAAACAATCAAACTCGCTGTTTCATATTAGGGAGAATAATTGCCACTCAGAGCTTGTGGTGAATATGCTAATTACTTTTTTTTTTATATTATTATTCCGTGCTGTAAAAAGGTTGTTTAATTAACTGTTATTGCTTCCTGAAGTAAAAGTATCAGACGAGAGAGGCTGCTGTTGAGGGAATATGGCAGAATCCTGGGTGAGGAGGGAGGTGCGTATGTGTGTGTGTGTGTGTGTGTGTTTGTATTTGATGATGACGGCACTGATTCCCGCCCACCTTCATCTCCCACCAACATGTGCTGAAGCGGCTAGAGCGGACTGACTCAGTGGGCCTTATGGAGGTTGATATGGAGATAGTGGGGGTGGATAGCATATCTCTCATCGTGATCTGGACACAAGTTCCACGATTACAATAACCGAGAAACCTGCGCACGCACACACACACACACACGCCACATGAAACAGGTGATCGCATCCAAAAAAAAAAAATGTTTGAGTCAAAGAAGATGACATGACAATTCAGGAGTTGACAGATGAGGAGGCGATGAGTACAGTGCAGTCAGCGCTGATTCCACCGGGGATTGTTTTGACAGCACTGTTTCCTTACGTAATAAGATTTACCATGGAGCTCATCTCGCCGCTTGATGGGCTTTGTTGGATGTCGCACACAGATTGACAGCATCACATTAGTCACCATCTCTCACCGTTCTGCCCGTCTGTTCTGTGTACCTTGTTAGCTGGAGAAGGTTGAGCCAGGATCCTGTTTCAGTCTCTGATTGATGTTTGATTTTCTGCCATCTTTCTCTCCCTTCTCAGATAGTCCTGCTGAGGAATGTGGACTGAAAACAGGAGATCGGATCCTTTTCCTCAATGGCCTGGACATGAGGTTTGTCCACTGTTATCATCAGCCCGAGTTAGTAGTATTTCAACTTCCAAGTTCTAGTATATTTAGACGTCAGGGTTTGTTTTTCCCCAGGAGAAGCCATCTGCTGCCATTTGTTCTTTCAAAAAAAAACAGCTTTCACAGCACCAGATAATCCATCACAAACACATAAAGCTTTTATTTGCTTTAGTCATAGTTTCTCCTTCACCATTATTTCATATTTTCTGAGCTGAGTTTTTCAACTTAGAAGCAGTTTGTGCACTGCGTCAATTCCCCTCAGGGTAAAGTGGAAAACTCAGACATGAATTAAGCTCTCAAAAATAACTTTACAAAATGTATTATCATGTGTAACTCCTCTCTGCGGCAGTGGAAAGAAGCAGAGTGGAAGTACAATTTTTGACAAATCTAATACAGCTGCAAGAGTCGACAGCCGTGGTCGAGGCTCTGCAAGACTGTGGATTGACCATAGACTGTATATAAAAGCGGGAAGTAGCGACTGTGATGTTGGATTGTGCGATTGATTTATGGACTAGTGTTTTGAAGCATCACATCAAGTTTAGAATGTGGCTGAGACTGAATGTAATAAGAGAATTATGGTTCTGCCTGAGAAGTCAAGGACACTACACATTCCAATATGGTAGCAACCTACTAAATCACAAGGTAGCCCTAAAACATACCGTGCTTTATCATCTGTTATACTTGATATTGGGCCCTAATTTATAAAAAGATCACCATGCCGTATTCCAGAAGTCTTGAAACTAGCAATTGAGAGCATAAATTTAATAGGAAATTGTTGACTGAGCTAATGTAGGGTCACCTTTGTATGGCCTTCTATACAATCTGACTTCTTCTTACAACCAGTGACGTCGCTCCCTGCTGGCTGTTAGAAATAATGACGCTTTATTAATTTCACATTGGCTTCACCTGACAGCTACATCTGTACACTGTTGCCCATAAAGTTGGAATAGATCATTTTTTGTTTACCTCTTCTCATGAAATGATTGTGGCAATGTGATTTATTCTTGATAGATAAAGCGTACGTCTTCTCAAAACGTTATTGACATCACAATGTACATACAACACATATCACAATAAAAATAAAACCACAACTAACTTTTGCAAACTTTGCATTCAGGCTTAAACTAAATTGGGGGTATTGAACAATAGGATTAAGGGTTTCTGTTTCATATGACCTTGGTCATATAACAGGAAACACATATTCGAGGGGATTTCATGCATAAGAATTTCCAATATTACACTTTCAAATGTCACTGATATTGAGTCTGGCCACCTGTGACATGGATCAATGCGTTAAGACATCGTGGCATCCTGTCCACAAGCTTGTTGATGGTGACGATCGGCAGGACATCCCGCTCTTTGGTCAGATCCAGAAGTCAGGACTAGTTTCATCTGAGTATCTGGGACTCAGTATATAATCACTGGTCAGAAGTGATGACTGATGTGTATAAATAGAAATAAAATGAGAACTGAAAACAAAAACGATTCCAACTTTATGGGCAACGGTGTGTATACCGTCAGTGGATTAGACACTGCTAATATTAGCATGCTAACATATTCAAAATCTATCTATTATTATTCATTTAAGTTTGTAATGTTCATCATTGTCGTTTAGCACGTTAGCATTCCTAACATTTGAATAGCTCTAAACATGTCGTTTACTGATTAGAAGTAAACGTGCCAATTTGCAGTAAACACAAAGTTTGTCAAAGCAGGAATAGGCAGTATTTTTTTGGTTTCTTTTGGCAAAAACTTCACATAAATCATATTTTATTTCAAGTGATCGGAGAGTAAATTAGACTTCTGCAAATCCTCTCAGGGAAAATCTTTCCACCCAGATCAGGTGAGAACGTATAAAAAGCAACGCTGTCGACAGTGAGGGCAGGATGTGATGGTGTACTCTGACTTGGGAGAGCGGGGTTTGTTTCCTGGGTGAATCCACAAATGAATGTTGACTTTCATTTTGACTGTATTTGCGTGTTTGAAGTGCATCTTCGTCTTGTGGGAAGAGCTTTGAACAGAGAGAGGAGAGGGAAGAGCTGCATTAGGAGGGATGTTCTTTTCTAGCTTTTGCTTTTTTGCCTTTTCCAGATCTCTGCCTACTGCAGCTTTAATTAGGAGTTAAGTCAAAGTTTGCTAATTATAATAATAACAACCGCAAAGCAGGTCGGAAAAGGTTGTTAGTTTGTGCAGATATTTGGCTGTAAATTAACAAAAAAAACAATGACCTGAGAGTGTGGAATCACAAGAAAAAAAATCAGGGAGTTCTTCCAGTTCATCCTGAGGGGGGACGTGAATGAAAACAAACAGCAGTCACCTTGCTGCATGTGGCTGTGCACGTACAGTATACATGGGGCGACGCACGTGATCGCAGCCTTTATGTAAACTGACCTTGTGGGAGTCTTCGTAGTTCTTTGTGGACTTTACAACTTCTTGACCTTCTGCCTTCTCAGCGAGTGAGTGTGGGAGTACAGAAGAGAAATTCAATGTGGAGAAAACTGAATTGTACATATACGAAGTCAGCAAATACAAGATCTCGAGCAGAGCATCAGCCGATATTTCCAACGCCGTGTGAGGAAACAGCATTAGTCATCCCGCCACCCTGATAGCCATGTGAAAGAAGCATCGCATGGCTGTTCCCATGGACGCGCTGATTTTGATTGGCGCTGTATAATTTCGCTGCTCTCCCTGATAACACGGTGCTGCAGCAGTGGGCGGCGATCGGGAAAACAGTGGGAGTTGTTCACCAGAGAGAGAGAGAGAAAATAAAGTACAAGACCTGTGGGAGCTTTAGTGTCGTGTTTACAAAGTGAACATATTGTAAACAACATCTGCAAAAATATGGAAATGTTTTCATATTGGCAGAACATCAGTTTTCGGAGCGCTCAGCTCGCGTACAGTGATAAAGCATTTCTGTCATCTGGTATTTGTATTCTGAAACTGAGGTGGATGGTTCGCTGAAAGCCATGCATACAGGAACATGACTTGAATTTGGATTAACCTTGTCCAAATATATCATGTAAAAAACAAGATGTTCTTACTTTTTGTGCCGTATTACAACAATAAGTGCAGACCGACCATGTTGCTGGGCAGATTGAAACCAAATAATCAGTTTCACAATCTGTATTTCCTTTATTGTGTTCATGGGTTCATATGTATTTATAACTCTATCACACATAGATTAGTCATGACAAGTGTATGTTTGCATGTTTATTGTTTGTTTTTTAGTGGATTTTGCATTTTTTTCTAAGAAATCGGACAAGTTGGTTTTTAAAGAGTCGCAACCAAAACAAAGTCATGAACCATGTTTTAATAAAACTTTATGTGTTTGTGTCAATTAGTTTGAAGTCATGCAGTAGATTACATTATTCCAATCAATCTGCTTCACAGCTAAAAGCCATCATCTCTCCATCATTTGCTTGTGTCCCTCTCAAGTTCGCTATTTTTTTGCTTCTTCTGCTGTAGGAACTGTTCCCATGAGAAGGTGGTGTCCATGCTGCAGGGCAGCGGGGCGATGCCCACTCTGGTGGTGGAGGAAGGTCCATCTGACTTCTCTTCAGAAGCCGATCCAGAGGAATCCCCGAATATGCCCCCGACCACGTTACCACGCTCGAGGTCAGTGCACGAATGTGATATATGAGGTGTGTCAGAAAAGTTTCAGGACTGGTGTCATAAAAGATATATTTCAAATACAAACCACAAACTACAAGTTTTCCTCTTCCAACTAATCCTCCTGGAGTCTAACACACTTCCCCAGCCTTCTCTGCCACGCCGCCATGCACTCCTGGAAGGATTCTTCCAGGATTCTCCGCAGCTCCGTCATCACAGCCATCTTGATGTCCTCCACAACTTCTAATCGGGTCCCCTTGATGACCCCCCTGAGCTTGGGGAAGAGGAAAAAATCCCACGGAGCCAGGTGGGGTGAGTAGGGAGGTTGCTCCAGCACGGCGATGTTCTTCTCAGCCAGGAACTGTGGGATGCTCAGGACATAGTGAGCAGGTGCGTTGTCATGGTGAAGCAGCTAGACTTGTCCTCCCACAACTCTGGCCTCCTGTCGCGCACTGAATGACGCAAACGCCGCAGGATCTCTTTGTAGACGTGCTGGTTGATCATCTGAAGGAGAAAACTGGTAGTTTGTAGGTTGGGGTTGAAATACATCTTTTGTGACACCAGTCCTGGAACTTTTCTGACACACTTCGTATTCTGTTGGGACGAACAGAGAAGCATTACTTCAATATGTATGAATGGAGAAATAATGCTAATATTGTATTGTACCTGCTGTCCAGGTCTCCGGCCCTCAGTTCTCTCCAGTGGGTGGCAGAGATTCTTCCACCGAGCATTAAAGTCCACGGGCGAACCTTCAGCCAGCAGCTGGAGCATCTGCTGACCATCCAGGAGAGATACACTGTCTGCAAGGCCTTAGAGACTTTCTTCCAGCACAGGTCAGTGGGCGGAGGGATAGAAAACAACCAGCATGTAAACAAAAGTAGACGGAGAGGATGGAGAGGTGCATGAAATATGAAAACAAGTGCACAGGAAATAATAGAACAGTCTGCTTAGGGATGACTGGTGGAGAGAAGCAGCTGCTGGAGGGTTTTAATTCTTTGTTCTGGGGATTTTGGAAAGTGTTGGCTGTCAGAATTTCTTAGAACAAAGCATTTCCACCCTGAGGTTCAGTGCAGAAAACACTGTAAATCCGCAGCAGTAATTAACATTAATTTTAATCATCTTTTTCTAATATTTTTCAAAAACACTTGATTTTGCAGCTCCAAATGAAAAAACAGTTGCAGCCTTAAGTTGACTTTTCAGCATCAGTCATGCTGCCTTAGTCATAGGACTCTCTTAACTAGCTAAGTTACTCTGACAAGTGCTGACAGAAAATGATCTGTTGCCTGGGAAACTGTGGTTTATACTCTTAATGCAGGTGAAAAAGAGAGAGACGGAGAAAATGATTGATGGATGTTAAGAGGAGAGAAAGCGACAGATGCACATGCAGCAGCTAAGCAGGAGGTTTATAGCTCCCATTAGCCTCCGAAAATATTTCCTCAAGGATGAAGAGATGGATGCACTTCAGATGATGTAAACATGTGATGCAGCAGGATTAAGACCAAAATACCAGTCGAGTACTGCTGTACGTGCATACAGTATCTCTCCAACCCCAAAGGCACAAATCTCACCATGGCTGACATCCCTGTTATCCTCCCACCTTTTCATATTCTGTTTTCATCCCGTATCTCAGCTACACAACAGAGGCGAGGAGTATAAATTTAAACTAAATCCTTACATCGAGTGGGCATCGTTTACCCGACAGTGAACGTGGCTCGGTTACGTAAAGATGTTGATGTTTGCAGGAACGTGGACACCCTGATAGTGGACGTGTTTCCGGTGTTGGACACTCCGGCCAAGCAGCTCATCTGGCAGTTCATCTACCAGCTGCTGACCTACGACGAGCAGGAGCGCTGCCAGGGTAAACTGTCACGCTTCCTGGGTTTCAAGAGCAGCGGTGAGCCTGAACATAGTATGGGGGATAAGTTGCATTTGAGGAAGCACTCAGGAATAAGTTAGTAGTTTCACTTATTTGAAAAGGACAGTATCCTACTGTTGAAGTCCTCATCGAAAGGCTGGTTTTCTGTCATGTGCGGCATCCTGATGATTAGATATGTTTAAAATATGCTTTGTAAGTTGCTTTTTTTGTAATTAAGAACAGCTGCAGCTGCATAATTAACCTGTAAACAACAAAGTTTAGCAAAACTCAATGCTGAATGCGTGTGTTTTTGCAGCGGTGTTAGAGCCCGACGGAGGCCAGGAGCACCACCGGAGGAGCAGCTCCATGCGCGTGACGGGGACGTCGTACCGCAGCAGCATGCGAGAACGGAGCTCGGACGACTGCATCATCGGGACTCACCTGGGAATGGGTACGCTGCACCTAATAACATCCCAGAGAGACCTCACCAGTAAACAAGGCTTTGTTGAACCCTAGCCAAAACAACATTATCCTCTGCAGGAGGTTGGTTAGATTTATGACAAGGTTTGAAAATCTTCACAGCTCCAAAACTTTGTCATTCAACTTTAAGAAATCTGAAAAAAAACAAACAGAATCCTTTCAATGCTGTTTATACAGTATAATCTAATCAGTAAAAGGTCATGTGATTGGTTAAAATCTCCCATCAGGGACTAGTTTTCTCTGAAGCCTGAAAACTGAGCCAGGAGGAGGCCCACTGATGCCAAACAAGCACTGCCTACCCCAGCTTTGATGGGACTTAATGGGTGGATTCACTCTAACCACTCTTTCAGCAGCATTTTCAGCAGCTTTTTTGTGAAAAAAAAAAATCCTTTGTGCTCACAACAATTACCGTTAAAGCTGATATAGAACCTGATATTTCCCCAAAGGAGTTGGTGGCGACCAACAGTGCAGCTAAAAGAGTGAGTGCTAATGTTGCTCCATAACTGCTGGGTTGTTTGCCCCCAAGTAGCAAAAACAAAACTTTAGTGTAGCTTTAACAAAGAACTGTAAAGCAGCTTTTCTTGTAAAGCTCCTGCATGCTCAATGGAATCTCATCGTTATTAATTCAGTATTACAGCACTGTTTTCTTTCGGGTTGCAGTCCCTGGACGTACAAGTAAAATCCAAGTAGAGACAGTAAATGAGAAACACTTAGAATTCTGTTAGCAATTACTCCACTATTGATATTCCTTTGAGCAAGGTATCTAACCTCCAGCTGCTCCATTTGAACTGCTTGGTGCTCAGTAATAAGGCTGTGTTTGCACCAGTCAGCTCCCAGGTGAGGCTCTGTGCAGTTGTTAGTGTGAACAGAAGACTGAAGCTGGAAAAAGATCCTGAAGTCTTCCTCAGACAAAAATGATCATCACCAGTTCATACATTCTCAGGCTTCAGGTGTTACATTCCCTTGTTTTCCATCGCCATTGCTAATTCCTGGTCCAAGCTTTTTTGCCTTTTGCTCCTCCACTCTGTCCTGCTCTGCTTCATCCTCTCTCCTCCTGGCCGGAGGCGGATGGATGGAGGAGGCTTACGTCCTCGCGTCACTGTTCATGCTTTATTGTGCTTTAGGAATTCATGTCGATGAATCTGGGAGCCCGGAGGAGAGGCAGTCAGGAGATGGAACCTCCTTCCCCGAGTCCCCTGACCTTAATCATGTAGGTATAACTGCAGCTTTCCAGCGCCGAGCTCCTCAGCAACATTAGCATTATGAATGCTAGTTATGTTGTCTGCGCTCTCTAGTCTCACATTATTTGAAGGTCTGCTCGTAATTACTCAACGTGTGATATTAAATCTGATTTCGAGGCCGCATTTAACCTGCAGCAGACCTTCAAAGAAAATGTCCCGCAGCGATTGTGTGCTAACCAGCTGGTCATGCCTCCACCTATAGATGACAGGTGTGTACACGGAGCTGGAGAACGTGTACGCAGGGAAGAGTGTGTCTCCACTGCAGGGCGGCTCCTCGGCCGAGCCCGAGGTGTCGGGACAGACTGAGGGCTACAGCCGCCCTCTCTCCCCCCTCACACTCCCCCCTCTCACAGGTACTCTGGGGCTGACACACACATCCAAACAGTCGCCGGCATACACACACACAGACGCTTTCAGATGCTTTCATCAGTGGTTTAAAAGCCATTAGCCACCAAAGCCCATCATTTAAATAACAAATGAATGAAGACATAGTCATGAAAAACCACATAATTTGGAGCTTTGGTGGTGCATGAGTGATGCCATGTTCACATCATGTCAGGTTTTCCATAACTACGAGCCACAAAACTGAATTATGCTGTTAAAAGTGTCGTTCTGCCAGTCTGATGTGAACATGGCACAAGAGGCACTGATTTTTTTTGAATGTGTTTGAGTTGGAACTCATTCAAATCCTTCGATCTATATGTGCGCATAAGCCTGCAGTTTATCTTCTGGTTGCCATGGTTACCTCTCAGAAGAAATGATCCTTGGGGTGATGGCATGGCAAAGAATGTCACAGATAATTACTGGAGGGAATAAGTGGCATAATATGTTACGCAATTTGCTCAGCGGATGGCATAAACATGTGCAGCGTGAGAGTCGAACTCAGCCGCCCTCGCTGTCCTCCTCCTCCTCCTCCTCCAGGTAACCGGAAGTCGGGCCTGTCGCTGTCCTGGAAGGAGCCACTCCCCACCCCCGTGTACGAGATCCACCACCAGAGCAGCCAGGACTCCAACCCCTACGTCAGCCTGGAGAGCCCGCCCGCCTCCCCTCAGCACTCGGACAGCGGCCCCAACACGCTGACCCGCCGCAAGAAGCTCTTCACCTTCTCCCGCCCGCCTCGCAGCCGGGACACGGACAAGTTCCTGGACGCCCTGAGCGAGCAGCTGGGCCACCGGGTCACCCTGGTGGACGACTTCGTACCCGGGGAGAACGACTACGAGGAGGTGAGGAGGAAAAATACACTTTGCTTTTATGTTTTAAAGCTTGGAAGTGTTGAGTTTTACAGTTAGAGGACGTGTTTAACGGATTCATGGGAGGGTCTTTCAGTTATTCCATCACTGAACTGATAACTGTGAGAGTTAGATGTATCCTACAGGTGTGTTCTCTTTTCTTAGAGCTTTGAGACGATGTGGGGGACACAACCTGTCTCAGAATATTGTTATCATACTTCAAGGGCAAGTTGTTTGTAGCTGCACCAGTAGTCAAGCCAAGTTAAATATGAAGAGTTCATTTGCAAAAACAGAAAACTTATTTTTTTATTGTTTGCTTGAGATAACATCAATCAAACTGAAGTTGAGTGGATTTGACTCAGTAGAAATGACAAAAACAGGGATAACTTAAGTTTGATTGATTTTGTCTCAGGTAGACGATGGAAAAGTTCTGACGGTTTGTGAAGATGGAGTTCTGTTTTAGCAAATGAACTCTTTGTATGTGTAAACTGTAGAAGAGAAATCCAAATAAACCGACTGAGCTGATAATCTGCCTCCACATGCCGCGTCTCAACTCCTTTATCTTTTGAGATATTAAATTGCTTTTTTTTAATTATCAATAAGGTAGAAAATTGTCATCCAAGGCCTCTGTTTTGTGTCGTCCCTTGGTGGTAAAAAGGCGGAAGTGTGACCGCATTAGCCCATTTAAGGCGCGAGAGGCTGCGTCATTTACTCTCCCTCCGCACATCCCTGCTCTATTTTCTTAGCTCTGGGTGAGTTTAACAATTGAAAAACCTCCAGAGATTAAAAAAAAATTGGTAAGAGTAATAATAAGCGCCAACCTTGTTAGCAGTTGGAGGTGAGCGGTCAAGCGTTTTACAGACTTAGCGGCTTAGACTTATTCAGCTCTCCCAATAAACTGTTGCAGGTGCTGGTTCAGTGAGAGGAATAACATGGACAGTGCAGTGTGTGTCAGGTAACATGGGGCTAGGAATGATGTGTACACTGATTATTATGTGTGTTTTTACATTTGAAGCTGCTATATCAGCTGTGATACCTTAGTATAATTACTGAGAATCAAATGCACAAAATGGTTGCACCATCGAAGCAAGAAGAGACTGCAGCGGTGCTTTTCTTGTTCCCTGTAATTATACTAACGTCGAAGTAACGGTGCTACCAGCTAAAATGTTTTATATATAGCATCAATTAAAAAGACAAGTCTGTTGTTTGTGCGTGTTGCTTATTAATAAATAATAAGCAAGCTCGCGTCCGGAGAAGTAATTGCGTTGTAGTGATGCATGTTTACATTAGAGCAGCTCTAATGTACGCTACAATGAACACTTGTGTCACATGAACAGATATATCAAGGTGGTTGTCATGGTTTCAGAAGAAGAGGTGTGCCTGTAAGTAAAAACACGATACTCAGTTATACAGTAGAGTCTTAAGTTTGTGAGACGGTGCTGGCGGAGGTAGAAGCACTCGTCTTTTGTAGCTGTGTTACGCCTTTGTCAGGAGGTTTTCGGTGCTTATTTTAGAAATGGGGAGAGCAGCACATTGTAGATCATTGTTTATTCAGTGTTTTACAGTAGACTCCACATTATTATATTAGGTTTATTGTGTTGCATATATAAATAGGCTGGATTACTGAAGATAGTAAAGTGCATGTTTTTATTAATTCTGTAGATCAGCAGAGCTTTTCTTTTCTTTCAGTTTTGTTGCTTTATATAGCTTTTCTGTCACAAAGTAGGTAAAAGAATAAAGAATGCATAAGTGAATTTAAGGAGTTACATACATGTACTTACAGTCGTCCTCCCATTAAAGAAGGAAGAATAGTCACTGAAATAAGTTGAAACTGACAAAAGTAATAATAAAGATTTAATTAATGAAAATCATGACATTGTTTTGAATTGTGGTTCTACAGAAATATTAAGGGAAAAAAAAAAAAAACAAACAAGCATGATGGGACCTGTGAACTAATAGTTTGTTGAACAACCCTTTGAGACAATCACTGCAATCAAGTGTTTTCTGTAACTCTCAATCTGTTGACAGGTATTTTGATTTTGGCCCACTGCTCATCAGCAAAGTGCTCTAATTTGTCCAGGACAGTTTTTTATTTTTTTATTTTTTAAATTATTCTTTTCAACCACAATTCAAAAGCAATGTCTTATTTCACTAAATTATAATTTAGCAAATTTTTATTTATTATTACTTTTTTCAGTTTCTAGTTATTAAAGTGATTATTGTGAATTTTGCCTTTTCTTTAATGGAAGTGTATGAATACATTTGAGGATGACAGTAAAGGAGCATTGCAGTTGAATAAGTTTCTGTTTCTAGATATCCAACTGTGCAAGCAACATAAAGTGAGCCTAACTTGAAAAAAATGACCTTAAAATGATAAGTTAGAGTATAAAGCTAAGAGGAACTGCAGTGCTTTTTTTAAAACATTTTATTTCACGACTGCTGTGTATTTAAGTATGTGGAGGCAAAAGCTATGGTTCTCGGGTCTGACGGCGCCCCTCTCCTCCCTCCAGATGAGCTTCCTGGAGGACCAGGACCTGGGCTTCATACCTCGGCAGCTGAGCAGCGGCAGCAGCGAGGATCACAGTAGCAGCGACGAGGCCTCCTCTCCCTCGTACTCCTCTGAGTCCGAACCCATCCCACCTCCCCCCACCCAGAGCCCTCCGCCTCCCCCACCCTTCCAGTCTCTGATACCCCCTCCCATGCAGTTCACCGACCCCCTCCCGCCTGTACGCTTCTCCCCGGAGCACGTCCCCCGCAGTCGGATGCCCTTCCAGCCGCACCACCCCATCATCCCTCCTCCCCCGCCTCCCCCGAGGACCCTCCTGTCCAGCCGCTCCCCTCTGCACAAAGTTCTCCCCTCCAGGGACGAAGCCGAGAAAAGTCACCAGCGCTTCCAAACCACCACCTCTTCCCGGCTCTCGCAGGGCCACACCATCCTGAGCACCACCACCACCTTGCGGTCCTCTCGCCCCAGCTACCTCCCCCGCCAGCTGAGCCAACCGGCGCCCATCCGCCAGCCCTCCCCCCAGCCGTCCCCTCAGGTGCTGAGGCCGAGCCAGCTCGTCCTCCAGAGGCACCACCAGCTCCACCACCAACACAGCTACCAGGGCCCGCTGCCGCCGTCCCTCCAGGACCACAACCCGTCTCAAAGCCAGAGCAAAGGCCAGCCCGGCTCCTCGCTGCTCTCCCATCCTCCCTCTCACTCCAGCCTTCCCACTCACATCAAGACCTATGAAACCAAACGGCCGGATCATCCGTCACAACAGGTAACATTCATGGTCGTTCCTTTTTTTTTTTTTTCTTTTGCAGGATACAAATGAGATGTACACATGAGAAATCATGGAAAAGTAAAAGCCATGATGGTTCACTGCAGCAGAGTCACCGCATATAGCTCCTAGCAACAGAAGTGTCACATAAAAATAACCACAAGTGCATCATGAAAAGCAGCAAAAGTCCTACTACTTGGTGCAGTATGCACATGAAAATGAAGGCACTGAGAGGAAAATGAAAGCACAATAAAAGAAACCCAATATATCATATTTTTTGACCCTCTGAACCATAAAACTCACCAGTGGGTTTGAAAGGAAGGCTGTCTTTTAAAAAAAAAAAAAAAAATATGCATCCGAGCTAGAAACTGTAAAAACAGAAAGAAATGAGATGTTTCTTCAAAATCTCATTTGAAATTTTGCCTAAAACAATCAGTCTGCAGTGTCCAAAGTCTGCAAAACAACATAAAATTGTGCCCAAGTCTGCTTAACTCAACTGATTCAGCTACAGTCAACAGTCATGTGACAAAAATTCAGGGATTATTGGGCTGGACTGCAGGCTGTGTTCACACAGAGCAGAGAAAGAAATGGAAACACATTAAAAATGTAGAGCCACCATCTTATTTTTCAGTCTTGGTAACACCCTTGAGCCTATTGTACACATTGATTCAATTTTTTCTCTTTTTTTTTTAGTTGAAAAATGATCAAAGAAATTCAACTTTTTTTTTTTTTTTAAAAGATTTATGGCATTATAACTTTGTTAAACTGCACAAAAGGACATTTTGAGGTTCCATAAAGGTGCAAGACTTTATATTGTGGTAGAAAATGAGCCCACAGTGAATAGAAATGTGACAGGAGCAAGAAAAAACAGACACTGCTTTGGGTTCAGAGGATTAAAAGACAAGACAGATAAAGAAGGTACATTTTACAGTCGATTGTTTTAGTTCAAAGCCCAACAGAATCATGATTTTATTAATTCATTTTGTGAACTACAACAGATGGAAAGTAAGCTGCATCCCCATAGGTCCAGACAGAAAGTAGGGAAATGATTTAGCAGCTCCCAACTTGCCCAGTGAGATCACTACTTGCGAGCTGTTCTATTTGTGGTGTCCAAGAACAATATCTCTCAAGTGTGTTTTTGATCTCCAAGGCTCCACCACCTCCACCTCCACCCTTGCCTCCGCCCTGCGACCCGCCTCCGCTGCCCAAGCCAGGCCAACACGCCTCCGACGCCAACCACATGAGCGTGAAGAGGCTGCGCTGGGAGCAGGTGGAGAACTCGGAGGGCACGATCTGGGGTCAGGTGAGCGTTCGCTCAGTCGCACGATCCCGCACAGGGACATACGCGGCCCTGTCGGGAACGTCCACCTGTGAATCTTCCCACTTTGGCTGCGAGTTTTCTCACCCCTCCTACATTCCTCCTCCTGTATTTGGAAAGGCATCCTTATGTGTCTCTGATGAGTCACGGCGGCATCAAAGCAACAATCTTGTTTTCGTAAATAGAATTCGTGTCACATTCGCTCTGCCTCGTCGCCAGGATCCCAACTTACAACCTTGTCGCGCGTGGAAAAGATCTGATATCTGTGCATGGAAACAGTTTTTTAGAAAGCTACTTCTAGGTTACAAAACCCTTGACTGTGTCTGTGGAGAGTTACAGAGCGTGTCCTTGTCTCTTTTTAGCTCGGAGAGGATTCAGAGTACGACAAGCTCACTGACATGGTGAAGTACTTAGACCTTGATCTGCACTTTGGAACACAGCGCCGATCCAGTGAGTTATCTTGTATCTGTGGTTATTATACCTCATCAAAATCATGTCGTGTGTTTGTCGAGCATGATCAACATTTTTAGGTGGAATTAATGAACATTAAAACGTTTGTCTGTTTATTGACGTCACCTGTTTTGTTTGTACCTCCACAGTTGTGATGTTCTCCATAACCTGCTTTGGAGCTGCTCCATTCACCTCTAATCCATTCTCCATAAGGCACCATACACCCTCCCTCCTCCCCTTTTCTTCTGTAATAACACAGACCTGCCAGAGAGAAGCACAACTTGCTGTTATTTATTGAAGATCAGCTCCAGTGCGGAGAGCATTTCGGCCTCTAATGGCAGAGCTGTGTTATTAACCCATCAACCTGCCACATTCAGCCTTTTGTGACTTAGATTGTGTGTTGACCCCCCGGTGCCTGGAGAACGCATCCTCACAATGTTGTTAAAATTATCAGTCTCTCCTCCAGAGCCAGCCTTCCTGCCGGAGAACTTTAAAAAGAAAGACGTGGTGGAGATTCTGTCTCACAAGAAAGCCTACAACGCCTGTGAGTACCGCCAAAACCCGACTGAGGGGTCACCCGAATGGTCCGGTAATAACAGCTATCACAGAGTTTTACCACAGATTTGGTTTCATTTGCAAAACAGAGATTCAATTTGCAAATCGCCTAATGTGAAATGGCTCACTGACTCACTAAAATCTTAACCTTAAACATAAATGTCGAAACTCTGTGGTTCTCATGAATTTGGGGCCACAACCTTTAAGTATTTAGCTCCTTTTACACCAAACCTTGTTTACAAAATATGAATAACATCTCTACAACTAATTATCTGCTGCATCACTGGTGCAGGACATAAAATTACTGAGGTGTGTCAGAAAAGTTCCAGGACTGGTGAACAAAAGATATATGTCAAACCCAAGCTACAGACTACGAGTTTTCCCTTCAGACGATCAACCAGCACGTCTACACAGAGATCCTGGGGTGTTTGCTTTGTTCAGTGCTGAGAAGAGTTGAGAGTTGTGGCAGGACAAGTCGTGGCTGCTTCACCATGACAACGCGTCTGCTCACAATGCTCTGAGCATCCCACAGTTCCTGGCTGAGAAGAACATCATCGTGCTGGAGCTACCTCTCACCCCACCTGGCTCCGTGGAGTTTGTTCCTCTTCCCCAAGCTCAAGGGGGTCATCAAGGGGACCCGTTTTGAAGACATGGACGACATCAAGATGGCTGTGATGACCGCGCTGTGGAGGATCCTGGAAGAATCCTTCCAGGAGTGCATGGCGGCGTGGCAGAGAAGGCTGGGGAAGTGTTTTAGACTCCAGGGGGGTTACTTGGAAGGAGAAAACTTGTAGTTTGTAGTTTGGATTTGAAATATATCTTTTGTGACACCAGTCCTGAAACTTTTCTGACACACTTCGTAAGACACAAAGTCAGCATTTTAGTGAAACTCATGAGGTGAGTCTAAAGATGTGACACTAGGAAGGTTTTCTAACCTATTGTTTGTTTGCTCTGGTCCTCATGAGGCTTTTGTGCTTTGCCTCTGGTTTGATGTCGGCTCACACACATACACAGAAAAATCAACAAAATTGCATCACTTAAAGCCACATGGGACTGTCCACTCTGCTGATTGGTTCAATGTGTCTGGGGCAGGAGCAAGAAAGTAAACCCAAGAAGAAGGTCCTAAAGACGATTTAATCTGCCTAAATATCAAGAAAACTACACACTTAGCTGTTTGGGTTGTACATCTTAGTCCTGACACTTTTCTGACACACCTCGTACTGTACATTGACAAACTGTATAACATGGATCCCCCCAAAACCACACAGCAGAATAGCAAATATCACAAATGAAAAAAAAGGTTTATTTTGTTTATCAGCACTGAATGAATGCAGGTTTGAAGTTGTGCATTGATGCACTGTGTTAAAAAAAAAAAAAAACCAAACTTGCTGGAAAAGGTGCCGTATACGACATTCAGAACCAGTGAATATATCACTACAACACCAGCATCTCCGACCAAAACAAATGAGCACATCAGCCACACCTCCCACCATGCTTTGTGTTTTATTTACAGCCAGAAAGGTCAGCCAACAAAAAAATAATCCATCAGCCCAGCTCGCATTATAAAATACAATGAATGGCCAGAACGAGCTGTTCTCAACTTGAGTAACTTTATCTTCATGCCACCTTTTACTCTCCGCTGTGGAGCAGAGAGAGCGCGCCGCAAAACAGCAGCCGAGGCTCTTTTATTATTTGGTACATAATGTTAATAAAATACGTTTTTTCTATTAGATTTTTGGGGCTGAACGTTCTGGACAGCACTCTCATTTGCGCTGCTATTTTGCTTTTACAATATTATGCTGGAGATGTAGAAATGTACGTGGGGGTGAACAGTTTCACTCACGTGTAGCTAGACCGGCTGGCAAAACATAGAAGCTGGGATCACAGCACACACAGATTGAGTGTAACGTCACTGTCTGCTGCTACTCCACCATATCTTTACAAAGGAGGTAGTTGTTTGCTGCAATGTCATTGCTACGTTAATGCTCAAAATCTCATATGTAGAGCCTTTAACTGGATTATTTTATCCTAACACTAGCAGACTGGATTAGTTAAGCTCCATTTGAAGAACCCACATGTGAGACTATTAAACAAACCTAACAGGAATGTAACAGTAAGGAACATAATGTATACAATAAGAAAAGACTAATATGTTAACTTAACAGTGGTAATAGACTGACTGAGATTAGATTAACTAAACCCTGTCTTTGTTTTGAGGATTTGTTTCTCTGTAATACCATGACATTAGATGTGGACGATGTTGTCATGATACTTAATTTTTATGGTCCGAGCACCCAAAAGGGTGCGAAGACCCTATTGGAACTGCTCGGATTATTATTATTATTCGTGCAAAAGACACGCATTTTTGAGGCCCTAAACATACTCAAAAACTCACCAAAATTGCCATGTACATCAGACCCGGTGAAAAAT